CAAGGGCGGTTCATCACTCCAGTGCCTTGCCGTTCACCTTCGCACCCCTGGGCCAGACTACACTCAATCATAGAACCTACTGAAGAGATTATTTTTCAGGAAAGACTTAAAGGTCGAGACCAAGTCTGCGTCTCTCACATGGATAGGCAGACCATTCCATGAAAATGGAGCTCTATAGGAGAAAGCAGTGCCTCCAGCTGTTTGCTTAGTAATTATAAGGACAATAAGGAGTCCTGCGTCTTGTGACCGTAGCGTACGTGTAGGTATGTACGGCAGGACCAAATCGGAGAGATAGGTAGGAGCAAGTCCATGTAATGCTTTGTAGGTAAGCAGTAAAACCTTGAAATCAGCCCTAGCCTTAACAGGAAGCCAGTGTAGAGAAGCACTGGAGTAATATGATATACTTTTTTAGTTCTAGTCAAGATTCTAGCAGCCGTATTTAGCACTAACTGAAGTTTATTTAGTGCTTTAGCCGGAGAGTAGACCATTGCAGTAGTCTAATCTAGAAGTGACAAAAGCATGGATTAGCTTTTCTGCATCATTTTTGGACAAAACGTTTCTGATTTTTGCAATGTTACGAATATGGAAAAAAGCGTCCCTTGAAATATTCTTTATTTTCGTCAAAAGAGAGATCAGATCAGAGTGTACAACCATCAAGATTAATTGTCAGATCAAACAGCAGATCTCTTTATTTCTTGGGACCTAGAACTAGCATCTCTGTTTGGTCCGAGTTTAAAAGTAAAACTTTTGCCACCATCCACTTCCTTATGTCTGAAAAGCAAGCTTCCATGGTAGTCAAATTTGGGGCTTCATCGTGTTTCATCGAAATGTACAGCTGTGTGTCGTCCGCATAGCAGTGAAAATTGACATTGTGTTTCCAATTTACATCACCAAGAGATAGGACCACTATTGTTTTAACTATATATATATATGTCTAAAACAGAACCTTGAGGAACACCGAAACTTACCATTGATCTGTCAGAGGACAAACCATCCACAGAGACTGATGTCTTTCTGACAGATAAGATCTAAACCAGGCAAGAACTTGTCTGTGTAAACCAACTAGGGTTTCCAATCTCTCCAAAATAATGTGGTGATTGATGGTGTCAAAGGCGGCACTAAGGTTTAGGAATCGTGCGAGGGCAGATGCAGAGCCTTTGTCTGACATCATTAAAAGGACATTTACCACCTTCACGAGTGCAGTCGCAGTACTATGATGGGGTCTAAAACCAGACTGGAGTGTTTCGTATACATTATTTGTCTTCAATAACCTGCTAAGTTGCAGAACTGTAATGCTGACACACAAACCGGGTTTCCGTCCAACCATTCACATGGATGAATTACCTGACGCATGAAAAAAGTCACGACTGGGCTGATGGAAACAGGAAATATCGGTACAATTTTGTAAATGTCGACAGACAATTTGTTCATTAGACATGGTGGGATCTTTTTGTGTCTGTAAAGTTAATTACGAGAGAAATGGCGGTGGAAACGCCTTTTTATGCGCCAATATTTATATAATAACCATCATATCGAAGTAAACTTGGAGTCACGGGATGACCTGTTGTGTGGTCTTCCCACTACGACTCGGGAAAGCATGCAGTTTATAAGGCTACAGATAAAATAAGTTATGATGAACTTCACAGGGTGGTGAAAGTGCATGGTGATGAGCTTGATGCTCCTTTCCAATAAATATCAAGGGTCTTATTCTGGGGACATGATGGTCGATGCTTGGCTGCCGTTTGACAAATAAAGATTATATTGCTCTTATCCATAATAATCTCATGTAGACTATACCTGCACTGTATCTGCGTTCTCCCAGTCTCAAAAGTGAAAATCAGACTTTTAAAAGTTCATATTCTCTTAACTCATACCCACATAATGTTATCGTGTTTTTGTCCAAAGCATAAATTGGAGGAAAAACCCCCACCTCAAACTTGTATCTCAAACAGACCATTTCAAAAAATGCTTTTATTTCCTCATAGAGGATGATGTCATCCTCCTGAGGAGGATGAGCTGGCCAATCAGCAGTCTACTTGCGTGAATATTTTTAATGACCGTTATGCGCCCACACAATTCTCTTGTTTGGGTACGCCCACACCATTCCAACTCAGAAAAGCTTATTTTTAACATACTTACAGTGCATTCAGAAAGATTTCTGACCCCTTCTCTTTTTCCACATTTTGTTATGTTACAGCTTTATTCTAAAATGGAATAAATAAAATATAAATCCTCATCAGTTCACCCAATACCCCAAAATGACAAAGTGAAAACAGGTTTTTAGAAATGTTTGCAAATGTATTAAAAATAAACATACCTTATTTACATAAGTATTCAGACCCTTTGCTATGAGACTCGAAATTGAGCTCAGGTGCATCTTGTTTCCATTGATCATCCTTGAGATGTTTCTACAACTTGATTAAATTCCATTGATTGGACATGATTTGGAAAGGCACACACCTGTTAATATAAGGTCCCACAGTTGACAGCGTATGTCCGAGCAAAAACCAAGCCATGAGGTCGAAGGAATTGTCCGTAGAGCTCAGAGACAGGATTGTGTCGAGGCACAGATCTGGGGAAGGGTACCAAAGAATGTCTGCTGCATTGAAGGTACCCAATAACACAGTGGCCTCCAACATTCTTAAATGGAAGAAGTTTGAAACCACCAAGACTGAGCAATCGGGGGAGAAGGGCCTTGGTTAGGGAGGTGACCAAGAACCCGATGGCCTTACCGCAAAAGTGGAAGAGGAAAGTGGAAGGGGGAGAAAGTAAGGAACTTGTCTGTCGGCCTTGCATTAAAGAACATAATTGGTTAAGGAAAACTGTGATAAATAAAAAAGTATATCAGTTTCACTTAAGGACCAAAGGATTGAGACAGCCGTCCCATAGATATTGACAAAATAGTTTGGGAAGAGCTCTTTGACGCGACCGGATCCCAGGGCATAGTGTATTTATGAACTGACACGCAAAACGACACCGGTATTCAAAAATTAGAATCGTTCAATTTACATTAGTATATAAAATTATTATTGCTACCAATATAATGTATTGTCATATGGGGGATAAAATATCTCCCAGCCTCCTGCAGATTTTGCTGGGAGGAGACCAGAATCAGGAGATCATTTGGTATGGTTGCTGTCCTATTTGTAGCTTGTTTTTGATACCACATGGTCCGAGGGAATGGCTAAAAGGATTGCAATATTTACCTGGAGCTAACCTTGCAGATAGCATGTACTGGGTGATCTTGCAAAGTCATAGTCAATCGATCAATAATATAATAATACTTTGTCAGCAAAAATGGTTAGTTTATAAATTCCACGAATCTGGTAGAAGCAATGAGAATAGAAAGGTTCAGAACTTTTGTAAAACATCACAGTACTGTTGAAATATATATGGCAAATAGAAATCCTATATGGATGGTGTTAAGAGATAGATGGGAGGTATTGAATAGAGTTGAAGGATGGGGCTAATAACAAATAACAACAAATAATAACAAAGATAGCTAATAATGTAAGCATACTGTGTCCATAATAAGTATATAGGTTGTATGTTGGGAGCTTTTGGGAAAGAGCACAGTTAGAAAGACATGGCATATAGAAGCAAACCGGAAGGAAATCATGAAAATGATCGAAGAGGTTGAGAGTAGAAGAAGTTCAGGAGCAAAAAATATATATAATTTATTGTAAAATTAACTGTGTCCATAAGGTGTAGATAGTAAGTATAGACCGGAAGTAGAGGCCTGGGCATTGTTGTTCACTAGTTTACTCCAAGTAGGGAAAGGATGGCGGGGTTGAAAAGTAATAAAATAAACAATTTCATACATTTCTAGAATAAGGCTGTAAACGTAACAAAATGTGGAAAACGTCAAGGGGTCTGAATACTTTCCGACTGCACTGTAATTTAAGAAATGTGGAATTAATTATAGGTCATATTTCATAGAAATCTTAACACTGGACGGTTACTTTAAAGTACTTAGCTAATAAAGAGACCACATGTACTGTACAAAGCATTTGCACCTAGGCCTATGAACAAACATTTATAAATTCGGCTACACAGTCTTTGTGTAAATGTTTTAGGTACATTTTGTTTTGGGTGCAAACTCTGCGTAAACAAACTGCAGAGTAAATATGACTGATTGTTGCAGCATGTGAGGATCGGCATTCGGCAGGCCTTTGATTCAGTTAAAGTAGTGACTCATTGGATCCTAAACAAATTGCTTTGCATTGTAGTGTGGCTGAGCAAGCTGTCACTGTAGGAAAACATGGAACAGTAGCAGTTAGTGGCTTTGCATGATTGTGACAATGAGGGATAGAGGAAAGAAAGAAACTGAGGGAGATTGAGGTGAGAAGGGAGAGAATTTAGTTGAGACAGCATTTACAAGAAGGCAGTGTAACCGTGTAGTTTGTGGCTCTCCAAATGCAGGATGTGGTATATGAATGTTGCAGAAATCCAACTGGACGAACTCTTCCGTTCTCTGTACTGTCTCTTGGGCAGCTAGTTCAGTCATTCATTGGGGAGTTCAATGACAGGACACATGCAGAAAGCTACAATTGTTCTGAGACCTTCATTCTTGAAGGCCCTCCTTAGTCAAATAATCCAAAATGTAATAGGTAATAATTATGTAATAACATAGCGTGTTTGTATGTGGTCACCAGAATAAATAATATAAATGAAAAACTAAAATCAGCCTTTCCTCAGGGTATTGTTGTTGATACAGTGTGTGTGTGTGTGTGTTGCAGGTCCAGTATGATGGATCAGAGAGATGTACAGGGCTGGTACCCAGCTGGAAAGGACCCCTCTCAGAGCCACCTGGGGGGGTCCTAGACCGCCAGCGACGAGTGGTCTCTCTACGTTATTTTCTAGCCAAAAGCCTCAGTCACTCTCCCTTGCCCCTCTCTCAACCCTCTAGGTTTCATCCCACAGCTTCTTTACCAAATCATACCCCAAGCTCGTACTCTTAACTCCAGTCCACAGCCCATAGGCCTCCAGTCTAACTGACCATGAGGGGACAGAAGGTGAGCATGTTATTGGGCTGTGCTCTCCTCTGCTCCGCCTCTCTCCTGTACCTGGGCCTGAGTGGCATCGACTGCCCTCGCCCCGACCACGCCCACCACCATACCTGGGCAGACGCCCACCAGGGCTCCACCAATCAGAGCCAAGCATCTTCCATTTACTATGGCGAGGACACACCCCTCATTTTCATTGGTGGGTTCCCTCGGAGCGGCACCACGCTGATGCGGGCCATGCTGGACGCCCACGATGCAGTGCGTTGCGGGGAGGAGACACGGGTGATCCCGCGTCTCCTTGCCATGCGTGCCACCTGGAGTCGCTCGGCCAGAGAGCGGGTCAGACTGGACGAGGCCGGGGTCACCGACCAGGTGTTGGACTCAGCAGTGCGGGCGTTCCTACTGGAGGTTAGCCATGGTGTTTATCTCTCCAGTTTTGTATTCTCACTTTACATAAAGTAATCCTGAAATATCGCAAGGATTGCCTAGGCTAGGAAGCTGCAGTGTAATTAAATTGTAACTGCACCATTTTCTATATAGCCTGGTGGCTGGATTCATTGCTTGCTTGATTGATTTCTTCCACCAGGTAATAATAGGTCACGGAGAGCCAGCAGCCAGGCTGTGTAACAAGGATCCATTTGCTCTGAAGTCTCTGTCCTACCTGGCCCGTATTTTCCCCCAGGCCAAGTTTGTCCTCATGCTACGGGATGGAAGGGCTACCGTCCACTCCATGATCTCACGCAAGGTAGATACTGCTGTGTGTGTGTGTGGGGGGGGGGGGGTTCCCTCTGCATGGTGTGGTCAGATGAGCTTCCATTTTTCCTTTCTCTTTCACTTCACTCTCTTCTCTATATTTATCTCTATTTAGCACAGACTCCTTCTCCCTCCCTTCTCTCTTCTTGCAGGTGACCATCTCTGGTTTTGACCTGACTAGTTACAGGGACTGTCTAACTAAGTGGAGCCGTGCAGTGGAGGGCATGTACTCCCAGTGCCAGGGGGCGCCAGAGGGCAGCTGTCTGCCTGTGCGCTACGAGCAGCTGGTACTGCACCCAGAGGAAGAGATGAGGAAGCTGCTGAGCTTCCTGGGGTTGCCATGGGACCCGGCCGTGCTACACCACGAAGACCTCATCGGCAAGGCCGGCGGAGTGTCGCTGTCCAAGTGAGCGAGAGAGAGAGAGAGAGAGAGTGTGTCTTTAATGTACATGCATGACATGCACCCTCCTTAGAATCATTATTTCCCTTCCCCTTAAACCTTTGCTGTAGAAGATTATGGCTAACAGGTGTACTTAGCAGTAGTCTTTACACAGGATTCATACATTACACGGTCTCTGTCTGTCTTCACAGCTCACATCTCTCTCTCTCTTACACACTGCCTCAATAAATACACATAGACACATACTGAAATTCCCTGCTCAAACACACACATACAGTACCAGTCAAAAGTTTGGACACACCTACTCATTCCAGGGTTTTTCTTTATTTTTCACTATTTTCTACATTGTAGAATAATAGTGAAGACATCAAAACTATGAAATAACACATATGGAATCATGTAGTAACCAAAAAAGTGTTAAACAAATCAATATATATATTATATTTGAGATTCTTCAAATAGCCAACCTTTACCTTGATGACAGCTTTGCAAACTCTTGGCATTTTCTCAACCAGCTTCATGAGGTAGTCACCTGGAATGCATTTCAATTAACAGGTGTGCCTTGTTAAAAGTTAATTTGTGGAATTTCTTTCCTTAATGCGTTTGAGCCAATCAGTTGAGTTGTGACAAGGTAGGGGTGGTATACAGAAGATAGCCCTATTTGGTAAAAGACCAAGTCCATATTATGGCAAGAACAGCTCAAATAAGCAAAGAGAAACGACAGTCCATCATTACTTTAAGACATGAAGGTCAGTCAATCTGGAAAATGTCAAGAACTTTGAAAGTTTCTTCAAGTGCAGTCGCAAAAACCATCAAGCGCTATGATGAAACTGGCTCTCATGATGACCGCCACAGGAAAGGATGACCCAGAGTTACCTCTGCTGCAGAGGATAAGTTAATTCGAGTTAACTGCACCTCAGATTGCAGCCCAAATAAATGCTTCACAGAGTTCAAGTAACAGACACCTCTCAACATCAACTGCTCAGAGGGGACTGTGTGAATCAGGCCTTCATGGTCGAGTTGCTGCAAAGAAACCACTACTAAAGGACACCAATAATAATGAGAGACTTGCTTGGGCCAAGAAACACGAGCAATGGACATTGGACTGGTGGAAATCTGTCCTTTGGTCTGATGAGTCCAAATTTGAGATTTTTGGTTCCAACCGCTGTTTATTTGTGAGACGCAGAGTAGGTGAACGGGTGCTCTCCGCATGTGTGGTTCCCACCGTGAAGCATGGAGGAGGAGGTGTGATGGTGCTTTGCTGGTGACACTGTCAGTGATTTATTTAGAATTCAAGACACACTTAACCAGCATGGCTACCACAGCATTCTGTAGCGATACGACATCGCATCTGGTTAGTGCTTAGTGGGACTATCATGTGTTTTTCAACAGGACAATGACCCAACACACCTCCAGGCTGTGTAAGGGCTATTTGACCAAGGAGAGTGATGGAGTGCTGAATCAGATGACCTGGCCTCCACAATCACCCGACCTCAACCCAATTGAGATGGTTTGGGATGAGTTGGACCGCAGAGTGAAGGAAAATCAGCCAACAAGTGCTCAGCATATGTGGGAACTCCTTCAAGACTGTTAGAAAAGCATTCCTCATGAAGCTGGTTGAGAAAATGCCAAGAGTGTGCAAAGCTGTCATCAAGCTAAAGGGTGGCTACTTTGAAGAATCTCAAATATAGAAAAACACTTTTTTGGTTACTTCATGATTCCATATGTGTTATTTCATAGTTTTGATGTCTTCCCTATTATTCTACAATGTAGAAAATAGTTTAAAAAATAAAGAAAAACCCTGGAATGAGTAGGTTTCCAAACGTTTGACTGGTACTGTACCTCACCCGCTTGTCTCTCATCTTCTGATGATTGCATACCAGACGTTTGATGTGTTATGGAATAGTTCACAATAAAGAGATGCCTGAGGAATAGGTAGATATCCTCCATTTCCGTGTGATAGAATATGTGGACACTAACAATGCTCATTGTTCACCAGGTCAGCCATATCTACTACTACGAAGTGTACAGGGGTCAGTCACAGTCAGTCTGGTTTTTCCAGCTGTGCAGTACAGACCTGGGTTAAAATACTATTTTATGTTTTTTCAAATACTTGTGCCAGATGGACAGGGTTTTCTTTTCGACTATTCCACTCAATGAATTCCAGAAAGTTTTTTTTAATGAGTTCATATAGTATTTGAACCCAGGTCTGGGTATGTTTTAATGGAAGGTTTAGAAGAGAGATGATGAGACATACTTTGAAGCCAGCTGTGGTACAGTCAGTGAGCTGCTTTATATAATACTTTATAAAGTTGATCTGTCTTATGCAATCATTACATAATGGCACAACCATATGCTCCTCTCAAAGCTAGGAAAAAATTGACGCACACACTCACACAAACGTTGGAATTAGTCTAGACCACAATGTGTCCCTTGTAGGTTGGAGTGGAGAGGTCAGATGGATAATCCAGTCTCACACAAACACACAGACACTAATGTTCTATCTATCTGTCTGATCTCCCCCCTGTAGAGTGGAGCGGTCCTCAGACCAGGTCGTGAACCCTGTAAACACAGATGCCCTGTCAAAGTGGGTGGGTCACATCCCCTCTGATGTGCTGCGTGAGATGGACGACATCGCCCCCATGCTGGCCCGCCTCGGCTACGACCCCTTAGCCAACCCCCCAAACTACGGCCGGCCAGACCCCATCCTACCCCACAACAACTACACACTGGTGAGACCTGACTTGAGGCACCATATCAACATTTACATCCTTTCGTATTTTTATTCTTATGGACAGTAACATTGGAAAGGAGAGAGGGAGATGCATACAGAGGGAAAGTCTGATAGGAAGGTGCACATGCATAGCCTCGTGATACTGGGAATACAGAACCCCAATGCTCAGTGATCATAAATAAGTAATATACTTCTGCACTACAGGATGAGGGAAGGACCACTCATAATGGCTGGAATGGCTTAAGTGGAATGGTATCAAACACATGGAAACCATGTCTTTGATACGTTTGATACCAATCCATTAATTCCGTTCCAGCCATTACTATGAGCCCGTCCTCCCCTATTAAGGTGCCACCTGTGTCCTGCACATATTTTCAAATCTGCATGTGCTCTTCCTCAAAGACTGATGATGATTTTCCTCTCCTCAGCTTCAGAGAACACCAGAAACCCCACATCCCAGTTAGGCAGAAGAGGAAAAGAAAGAATGGGAGGAACAGGAGAAGGAGGTAAACACAAGATATGAAGGCACTTCTTATTTGTACATTCTAGAACCCTCTCCAGTTCCACATTCCATGCTCCTTTCCCATTGGCTCTCAGCCCACCATCAACCCCACTAAAGAGGATTCTAAACTGCATCTGTGTTTTTGCATAGGCCACGGTGACTGTTAGCCTGTTGTGTTATCTGAGTGGAATGAGGGCATCAGATATGGATCAGTTTATTGCTCCACAATTCCGTGGGACAGTGGACGCCACTGTGTGGGAACTCCAGTGCCTCTTCCCTGGACTCATTCTTAGGAAAATCCCGTCTGAAACTCGGCCTCCTCTCCCTCCACAGAGACCTCCATGTACCAATAGTGTTGCAGTGTAATGTGATTTTGTACCACAATTGTTGAACCTGATACAATTTCCATATATTTCTTATTAACGTCCTGTCACTCATCCCAAATCTGTGAACATGTTTTTGGAAAGATCTGCGACATGTTACTGAGAGTAAATATATATATATACACTGCTCAAAAAAAATAAAGGGAACACTTAAACAACACATCCTAGATCTGAATGAATGAAATAATCTTATTAAATACTTTTTTCTTTACATAGTTGAATGTGCTGACAACAAAATCACACAAAAATTATCAATGGAAATCAAATTTATCAACCCATGGAGGTCTGGATTTGGAGTCACCCTCAAAATTAAAGTGGAGAACCACACTACAGGCTAATCCAACTTTGATGTAATGTCCTTAAAACAAGTCAAAATGAGGCTCAGTAGTGTGTGTGGCCTCCACGTGCCTGTATGACCTCCCTACAACGCCTGGGCATGCTCCTGATGAGGTGGCGGATGGTCTCCTGAGGGATCTCCTCCCAGACCTGGACTAAAGCATCCGCCAACTCCTGGACAGTCTGTGGTGCAACGTGGCGTTGGTGGATGGAGCGAGACATGATGTCCCAGATGTGCTCAATTGGATTCAGGTCTGGGGAACGGGCGGGCCAGTCCATAGCATCAATGCCTTCCTCTTGCAGGAACTGCTGACACACTCCAGCCACATGAGGTCTAGCATTGTCTTGCATTAGGAGGAACCCAGGGCCAACCGCACCAGCATATGGTCTCACAAGGGGTCTGAGGATCTAATCTCGGTACCTAATGGCAGTCAGGCTACCTCTGGCGAGCACATGGAGGGCTGTGCGGCCCCCCAAAGAAATGCCACCCCACACCTGACTGACCCACCGCCAAACCGGTCATGCTGGAGGATGTTGCAGGCAGCAGAACGTTCTCCACGGCGTCTCCAGACTCTGTCACGTCTGTCACGTGCTCAGTGTGAACCTGCTTTCATCTGTGAAGAGCACAGGGCGCCAGTGGCGAATTTGCCAATCTTGGTGTTCTCTGGCAAATGCCAAACGTCCTGCACGGTGTTGGGCTGTAAGCACAACCCCCACCTGTGTACGTCGGGCCCTCATACCAGTCTGTTTCTGACCGTTTGAGCAGACACATGCACATTTGTGGCCTGCTGGAGGTCATTTTGCAGGGCTCTGGCAGTGCTCCTCCTGCTCCTCCTTGCACAAAGGCGGAGGTAACGGTCCTGCTGCTGGGTTGTTGCCCTCCTACGGCCTCCTCCACGTCTCCTGATGTACTGGCCTGTCTCCTGGTAGCGCCTCCATGCACTGACAGACACAGCAAACCTTCTTGCCACAGCTCGCATTGATGTGCCATCCTGGATGAGCTGCACTACCTGAGCCACTTGTGTGGGTTGTAGACTCCGTCTCATGCTTCCACTAGAGTGAAAGCACCGCCAGCATTCAAAAGTGACCAAAACATCAGCCAGGAAGCATAGGAACTGAGAAGTGGTCTGTGGTCACCACCTGCAGAACCACTTCTTTATTGGGGGTGTCTTGCTAGTTGCCTATAATTTCCACCTGTTGTCCATTCCATTTGCACAACAGCATGTGAAATGTATTGTCAATCAGTGTTGCTTCCTAAGTGGACAGTTTGATTTCACAGAAGTGTGATTGACTTGGAGTTACATTGTGTTGTTTAAGTGTTCCCTTAATTTTTTTTGAGCAGTGTATATATATATATATATATATATATATAAGGAGGCATAAATTTATATTTTTTAAGATGTAATGTTTATTTTCTTAATAAATTATTTTGTTGGTCAGTCATTCACCATTACAGAGTTTGTAGCTTGTTTTGTAAAAATAAATAAGGCAAATCACTGTATAGCAAGTGTTCGTCTGTAAGCATTTATTTCAGGTTTCTTTGCTAAGGACATACAGTACGCACCCAAATCATCCTAAGGTTAATCTTTAAGTGTTTTATGGTGATTTTCTTTCCCCGTACAGTGCTTTTACCAGCAGCATGTTGTAAATGTATATAAAAAGAAGAAGCACAATCGGAATCTGTTATCACCCGATGAAACTCGATGCAGGGCACGACGATTAATGTACGCAAGTAACGCAACACAATAAAATCTAGTCAAGCATAAAACAATTGAATTTACACAATAAAAATTCTGTCAACTACTCACCTACTGTACATTTACATTTTAGTCATTTAGCAGACGCTCTTATCCAGAGCGACTTACAGTTAGTGAATACATATATTTCTATACTGGCCCCCCGTGGGAATCGAACCCACAACCCTGGCGTTGCAAACGCCATGCTCTATCAACTGAGCTACATCCCTGCCGGCCATTCCCTCCCCTACCCTGGACGACGCTGGGCCAATTGTGCGCCGCCCATGAGTCTCCCGGTCGCGGCCGGCTGCGATGCAGTGCCTTAGACCACTGTGCCACTCAGGAGTACATCAACACTCTTCTACCCAAAATTGAGCCCTATCAGCCTTTTACTTATTATTTTTAAAGAATGGAAAGTTCAGTTTGGACTGCCTTGTCCTTGCGATTAAGAGTTGGCAGAGAGGGGGACCTTTCCAGCGGAGAGTCAGGTTCGTATGATGGGGATTCCAGGGGCTCACGAACAGGTGGCTGGGGCGCTACGTCCAGGGGAGAGATGGTCATGAAAAGGCTCCTCTCAAGGGTTTCTAAACTCAGCAAAAAAATAAAATCCTCTCACTGTCAACTGCGGTTATTTTCAGCAAACTTAATATGTGCAAATATTTGTATGAACATAACAAGATTCAACAACTTAGACATAAACTGAACAAGTTCCACAGACATGTGACTAACAGAAATGGAATAATGTGTCCCTGAACAAAGGGGGGGTCAAAATCAAAAGTAACAGTCAGTATCTGGTGTTGCCACCAGCTGCATTAAGATTTTACCGCACTCTTCCACCAAGGCACCTGCAAGTTCCCGGACATTTCTGGGGGGAATGGCCCTAGCCCTCACCTTCCGATCCAACAGGTCCCAGACGTGCTCAATGGGATTGAGATCCGGGCTCTTCGCTGGCCATGGCAGAACACTGACATTCCTGTCTTGCAGGAAACGCACAGAACGAGCAGTGTGGCATTGTCATGCTGGAGGGTCATGTCAGGATGAGCCTGCAGGAAGGATACCACATGAGGGAGGAGGATGTCTTCCCTGTAACGCACAGCGTTGAGATTGCCTGCAATGACAACAAGCTCAGTCCGATGATGCTGTGACACACCGCCCCAGACCATGACAGACCCTCCACCTCCAAATCGATCCCGCTCCAGAGTACAGGCCTCGGTGTAACGCTCATTCCTTCGACGATAAAAGCGAATCCGACCATCACCCCTGGTGAGACAAAACCGCGACTCGTCAGTGAAGAGCACTTTTTGCCAGTCCTGTCTGGTCCAGCGACGGTGGGTTTGTGCCCATAGGCGACGTTGTTGCCGGTGATGTCTGGTGAGGACCTATCTTACAACAGGCCTACAAGCCCTCAGTCCAGCCTCTCTCAGCCTATTGTGGACAGTCTGAGCACTGATGGAGGGATTGTGCGTTCCTGGTGTAACTCTGGCAGTTGTTGATGCCATCCTGTACCTGTCCCGCAGGTGTGATGTTCGGATGTACCGATCCTGTGCAGGTGTTGTTACACGTTGTCTGCCACTGCGAGGACGATCAGCTGTCCGTCCTGTCTCCCTTTAGCGCTGTCTTAGGCGCCTCACAGTACGGACATTGCAATTTATTGCCCTGGCCACATCTGCAGTCCTCATGCCTACTTGCAGCATGCCTAAGGCACATTCACGCAGATGAGCAGGGACCCTGGGCATCTTTCTCTTGGTGTTTTTCAGAGTCAGTAGAAAGGCCTCTTTAGTGTCCTAAGTTTTCATAACTGTGACCTTAATTGCCTACCGTCTGTAAGCTGTTAGTGTCTTAACGACCATTCCAGAGGCGCATGTTCATTTAATTATTTATGGTTCATTGAACAAGCATGGGAAACAGTGTTTAAACACTTTACAATTAAGATCTGTGAAGTTATTTGGATCTTTACGAATTATCTTTGAAAAAAGGGGACCCTGAAAAAGGGACGTTTCTTTTTTTGATGAGTTTAGGTCCAGGAAGCAGAGCAGGCTCTCCAGTTCTATACTGGCTGGGTCAGGGTGTGTTGTGACTTGGTTGGGGAGTGTGACAGCTTGGCCTCCTT